ATAACCTTACTTACAATAAATTCTATTTTAATTTAAAAATTAGAATACTAATAAAATTATGCTAATGAGAAAATAAGCATGGCATAAAGAAATAGATAATACGAGAAAATTACATAGAATCACGTAAAGTAAGGTTGAGAACAAGAATAAAATGAACTATAATAATAAAAAATAAAAAATAGACTTTTACAAATTTTTAGAATAATAAAAATAAAAATAAAAACAAATTAAAATAATAGAAGTAAAAAAAATTAAAACAAAAAAAATAAAAATAGAAATTAAAAAAAATGAAAAAGTAATCAGGTGGTAATTACACCATGTAATTACCAACAATTCACAGCTTCTGCCTGTGAATTGTAGAGTGTAATTACCCCCTGCCAATTACACCAATTACCTGCTGACCAAGTAACTACCTGTCCTTTACACCAATTACACCAAATCCAATTACCAGGATGTCCTTCCAAACAGACCCTTAATTAATCTTGGTCACTTCAAGTTGATCCTAAGACTTTTTTGATCTCGGACCAAGCTCCCTAGCACAATAATAATACTATCAGTAAAGAAACAAATAGATGCTTAAGACTAAAACTCTGCTTTACCACTGAAAAGGAGTAAATGTTGGACTAACTAGTAACTGTCTATCCTAATCCTCTAACTTCTTTGCTCTCCTACTAATAATTGCCTATCGCATTCTCCCTATTTTAATTGTGATTTTTATAAAAGAGAGAAGAGAAGAAATTTTGGTATTGGCGCCCACAAAGTATCACCTCAAAAGAGAAAGGAAAAGATAGATAATATATGTGATAATGCTTATTAACTAATCCATATTAATTTAAGGAAAAAGACATAAATATTGGCCTCTTTCGTTTGTGTTTTCACATTAAAATATGAGATTGGATGGTCCAAGTTGAGATTTTTGTCTAGTGGCTATATAGACAAAGTAATTGTTTTTAGTACTATAAGCCTATGATCAATTGCCTTTTATGCTTCTAATGCTAAACAACATAATTACCCATAATTATTATTATTATCATCATCAGTATCCAGCAACATTTATGCCCAAAGATATTATTTTCTTTTTACCCCTCAAATCAATATCATTTCATACACCATTAAATTTGTTTAACTTATTAAAAAAAAATTAGATTTTTTTAATATTTACTTAATTTTGACAAATTTAAGTTTCATTCAAACTTCAAACTTGAAGTGTAGAGTTAAAGTGTTAAACTTTGACATACCCTAATTCTAAATCAATAATTTTGTCCAAAGTTGAATTTGGGACAACTAAGTTTTAAGACTTTATAAATTTCGATTATTCCTTAAAAAGACATCTTGAAAACGACTCCTTGTGAATTTCACCCCTTTTACTCAGATTCAGTCTTTTTTCTATTTACCCGATTTACCATGAGACGACTATATTTGGACCCCATTACATGGATGCCTACAAGGCTACAACATACATTATATTTTGCGCAATCAAGCAGTTGACTTACTATCACCATTCTACTAGTATATGAATTTAATCTAGAGTGATGGAGATTTTTTTGAGGCATTGATTACTTTTAAAATATATATATATATATATATCTTTCCTTTTAATTATTTTCATGTAATGTTGACCTATTGTATACTTAATACTTTGTATGTTTATTTCTACAACCGTCCACTTTTTATTTGTCATGTTGCACTTTTCGAAAGTTAATTTAACTAATTTTTAAAGTTAAATTAGATTAACTTAATTCGATATTTTAAACAAAAAAAATTAGATATTCAAAAACTATACAAAAAGTACTATAAATTGCTATTTCTTGCATATCAATATGATGAAAAAATATCGTAAAATATTAGTCAAAGTTTTTATAGTTTGATTCTAAAAAAGAAACCATGACAATTAAAAGTGGATCGAGAACTGAGGAGTATCAGATAACACCTAATTACAACAACAAAAGTACTTAAAATTAGAAAAAGAAAAAAACGTTTGACCTACTTTTAAAGCAAATTCAGCGTCTATTTAATTTTTGGATAAAATTATTAATAATTCACTTTGCTTTAATGGAAAAACCACTAATAATCGAAATAATTTAGGTGCTGAAAAAAGCAGTAAGAGTCTTTTTAGCTAATTTCTATAATTATTGGTTCATGGAATATGCTTCGATCACCATAGTATTAATTCGGCGCACAAAATTGACTCTAAATTCCATGATATTTTTAGTGAAAATGATATTTTCTTATTTAATTTATGTAATATTTTTTAATCCGTTATAAGTTGTTATATTTTTATAATAAAAAATAATTTATGTATTTTTTTTCATCTTTAATAAATAATTTATAATTACATAAATGCTTAGATTTATTTGAAACTATAAGTTTAATTTGTTTAAAAATATTTTATGTCAAATCAAATGATATCATATGAATTAAAACGTATCGAGTATTATTATTATAATACTTTTGAAAGTGATTTGACAAGAAAACCACTTATATATAGTCTGTATCTTATGAAGATTAGCTGGAATGGGCCCTACAAGTCTACCACTAATAATTGTGGTGTTGCGGAAAAAAAATATTTCTTTTTATTACGGTGTTTTTATGAAGATGATTAATGGACCATTAATTTAATTAGCTAAGATGGTTGATTGGTGATTGACCAAACAACTAACGGGGATTTTCTATAATTTTTATTACAAAAGTATAATTATATGAATTAATTGTTGTAGATTTAATTTTATGCAAGTACATTCATGAGGTTTCCCGTGTAAATCACCATCTTGTATTATTAGTTGTATACTTGTTTTAGAGTAATTCTATCAACTTGGTGCACTGAACCCTTAGGTTAGTGTTGGGGGCTTGGAGCTATAATGATGAAAGACTAGGTCAAGGTTTAAAATTTATGAATTCGAAATTTTAGTTACTTTAAATTACTCCTAATAATTTATACAAGACAAAATATTTGGAGTCTAAAGTGTTTAGGTTGAGCAAGTCTGAGAAAGACTGTAAAGTTTAAAGGGTTTAAGTTGAGCATGGCTAAGACAAAATATTCGGAGTGCAAAATTCAGTGATATAACTTATGTGACACATGTGGAAGTAAGAATTGATATACAAGTCATCTCCGAGAAAGAAAGTTTCAAGTATCTGGGGTTAATAATCCAATAAAATAGACAGATTCAACGAAGAATGAAATGAAAGCTCACATCTCATATCTAATTATTAAGTACAAAAATTGAACCGAAACATCCAATGAATACTCCAATTCTCGTATCTAAGCTCATATTTTTTCTGTAGAACTTAAAGGTAAGCTTCAGTAAATATGTTTTTTTTTATTATTATTTCTAAATTTTGAAGATGGCCGACTATTTTATAATTAGCTTATTTTTGTACTCCATAAATAATCAAATACTAAATGACAGCATTAATGAGATTGATAACAATTGGTGAACTGCTAAGTACAGCCTCAATCCTCTGGATTATTATTGGCCCTACAAATATCATTTTCATGTTATAATAATCACTCTTAATTTCAACCTTAATAGTGACAGCTGCTTTCCATAGATGGTTGATTAGTCCTCATGAGCTAACGGTCGAGGATCTTTCGAAAAGAGTCTATATACCTACTTGAAATAGGAGTAAGGTTTGCATATATTCACTTTTTCCAATCCTCAAACTCAACTTATGAAATTACACTGAATATGTTGTTATTGTGAGGCTGTGAGCTAATATTCTTTAATGGATCTTCTAAAAAATGTTTCAGAAAAAGATTGACTATAAAATTTGAAGTTTGAATTTTAGTTCCAAGTGCATGCATTTTTTAAGAGTTTTAAAATTAGCACTTTCTCTCGTTGATCGAGCTTTTAACAAACGAAGATATGTAATAATATCTCGATCAAGGACAGAGGAGATGTGGGAGAATGATAAAAGCCAATTACCTACTTAATCAACTAAATAAACAAAGATAAACTCCCTCTCATCACCATCATCACTATTTAGATATTAAACTTTTTCGTATTTAATGAGTGTTATTGAAGTGTGTGACTATATTATTTAAAAGTTTAAGTTGTAGAGAGAGTCTACTTTTATTTACTTAATTATATTTGCAACAATGATAAGGTCCGAGCACACCCCATCCTCCGTAGACTCCATTTGTGGGATGATACAGGATATGTTGTTGTTATTTTAGGCAAAAAAAGAAGTGGCAGGGTTAAAAATCAGTATTATTCACCAAACAAGCCCACCTTAGTCTTGGACCTCTTCTTGGTGACACCAGAAGCAACCATACACTTTGTAGCAGTTGACAAGCTAAAGTTACCAGTTTGTTTCAAAAGAACTTTTATGTTTTCGACTTCTAAATGTAACACTTCCATGTCTACTGAGGTGATGCAACTGATATGGAGTAGGAACCTCAGAAGACAGTGAGGTGTTCAATGGCAAGTAGATATGACAACATTGATTTATGGCCTAGCTTATTGAGCCAACTTGTTTGAATCCCAAAGTGAACATAAGAGGCGGATTCAAGATTTTAAGTTGACTAGTCTGTTCTGCTATTGTGTCTATACCCACATTCCTTTGAAATATTTGATATGATGTTAACATGAATATCTACTTTTTGAAATTCTTGTAAATGTAAAAGCTTGAACTAAAAACTGTTGATGGCTACATTTGTTACTGACAGAGATTCATGTTTCCCCCACTTTTCGTCCACACGAAATTTGCAGTCTTGATCTGCATCATGCAATTTTCAATTATCATGAATCATGCATATTGGCCTGACTACCTATACCCTTGCATCATACTCAACAGGCACAGATTTATCATACTTTTCTGCATATTTATATCTTAGTGAAGAGAACATTCACCAAGAAAAGCCAGCAGCATCGACTTTATTTTCTATCCTAACAACTATTACACATTTTTCTCTATGTTTTGTTAGTTCTCCTAAAAGGCTTTCCTTGATATCTAGTCCTCTTAGTCATAATCAAATTGTTGAGCAACATAAGAGAAGTGATATGGGAGAGCACAAAGTCTTTGTATGGAGTCTAAGTTTCCTGGTTTTGTTGTGTTTTGGGCTTTATGGACGTGTAACAGTTGAAGCAATCCGAGAAGGGAAGTTTTTAACTTCTCAGGCTAAGGCTGCCAATGTAGCACTAACCAATGGTTATGGAAAAGAGTTTGGAGGTGGAGGTGGAGGTGGAGGTATGGGTGGAGGCATAGGAGGAGGTGGTGGTTTAGGCTATGGCTCAGGTGGTGGAAATGGTAACTATGGGATGGGTGGAGGATCTGGCAGTGGCCAGGGCGGTCAATATGGTGGAGGTAGTGGCGGTGGCTTTGGTGGAGGATCTGGTAGTGGCCAGGGTGGTCAATATGGTGGAGGATCTGGCAGTGGCCAGGGTGGTCAATATGGTGGAGGAAATGGTAGTGGCGGTGGCTTTGGTGGAGGATTTGGTAATGGTGGTGGCGTTGGTGGAGGAAATGGTGGCGGATATCCAGGGTATGCTGGTGACAGAGTGCAGTCTAAGTTTCCACAAGTGTCTGCAGGGAGGAAGAACTAATAAGGCACAATACTGGTGTTAACTACATTATAGATATCTCATGTAAAATAAGGACAATGTTTACTACTAAAGCTAGTCTACCTTACACTATTGTAAGCAGCAAAGTAGGTCCAGAACCAAAAAGGATATAATAATAATAACCAAAGAGATTATTATTCACTTCATATAATAAAAAGTCACTGAAACAATGAGATCATTGTTTATCTAAATATAGTGTCGTTTTTATTTAGCGGAAATAACTATATACATATGCAGAGTAGATGCATAATAATCTGATAAGGGAACATTAGGGAGAACCAAGTTGTGTTATGAGCTGCAAGGACCTCAAATTCTTGAAGCAGAACTTGCAGTATGCCTGCTGGTGAGTTCTTCTCATTCTTATTCCTGAAAGAAACATATGAAAATCGCTATAAACCAAGTTTTATCTGTGCTGCAATTACCTATCGATTTCTTCAAACATAACATCAATATAAGAATTACTAAAGAACTATAAACATATTTCCATATCTGACCTCTAAGAGGGAAAATTTAAAAGCATTCAGATACCTACTAAATGAACAATCATAAAAGCCAAGTAGAAATTAGCTCACGTATAAGTAACATTCAATTTGAAGTTGTGAAAAGAACAGGTCATTGGAGTAAAGTTAAAAGTGCATCAGAGGCCCCAAGACACTTCTCAATCAAATTTCCGAGTCACCCTTAAACTTTGAGAATGTTCGCATCTTAATGTTGTCCACTCATTAGCCAAGACATCTATCACTTCTATTAACCACGCCCTCTCATTCATCGCCTTCATATTAAACTTGAACAATCTGGAAAGATCCTAATCTTCTACTTTGGCTCAAGTTCGATCCCTAGTCTTTATATGGCCATTATCTTGCAAAACATATATGTAAATTGGCTAGCTGGACCAAAATTACCAAAAGAAGTTCTCATCCTTTATACCTACATAGTTTTTTAATAAACTTGTCTTTTGGATCATAGTGGATAGTAAATTGGCTTTCTAGAATCAAGAACCAATTCTACTTTACACTGATTTCGATGGAGAATTGGTTCTTGAATACCAAAAATATTAAGGGCCCATTGCTAACTCTAAAGTTGGGTTTGACATTTGGAATGACTAACACTACTATTATCATTGTCAAAAACCTGCATAAAATTGATAAAGTGGTATAAAAGATGAATGTCGCAGAAGTTTTCTTCCAGAGTAAACGAAAGAGATTTTGAGATCATATACTCAAGTATCCTACTTCATGAACCAAGATACAGAAGCAACAGCAGGATCTTATGTTTACTCTCGGGTGCTTGTATGAGTTGTTTATCAATTATCATCAATTCAACAGATATAAATGGATGCATTTGTAATCTGACAGTACAGATAAATAGTTTACATCACTGGTTCCTATATTTACCAAGAATTTAAAAGATGAAGCCATTATACAATAAAAAGGAGTCAACTATAAAATTTAATGTTCAAACAACTCCACTTATAAGGCGAATGGAAAATTAAGCAACTCTTTTAAACGGTTTACTGTAAACTAACTATAACTCGGCAAAGAGATGCAAATTGTGAGATTAGTCGTATTGTTCCAAGAAGCCAACTACACTGATGTGACTGATCCTGATGAGTTTAACAGAACAGAGTCTCAAGTAGTGAGTATGTTCTTGATTGATATTCTTTGTGATGCAATTAAAGCCCAGATATTACATACAGTATTTCTAATAATAGAAAAAAAAGGTCCTCATAATCAAAAGGACAAATCTCAAAAAATTGGACTAGGATTCACCTAAAAGGATGTCTGAGTGATGACCGGAAAATGGATGTCTGCTAGACATTTGAAAAAACAAGATCACCTAAGAAACAAAACCTAACAATGCAATTTAACCTTTAAGAACTCAAAGGGAAATGTAGAAAGGACAAGAAGATACCTCAAAGAATCTGGTATTAACAACAGCAAATGTTTTTATTAACTAGATCATTATGTTCTTATCCTGGAAGTGAACAGTTGCATCTTTGAACTTGCAATTATCCAAGAAAACTTCAGTCATGTGGAGTGATTTTTCTTTTTTTGGCAAACAAGAGAATTAATAAAAAGTTCAATGTGACGTTTAATATTTTCATCAGATTTGAAGTTAAAATTCAACCAACAGCAGGTTTGAGGGCCAAGTTTCAACTACATGGAACATAGATCTTTTGGATTCTCCAAACAAGTGAACATCACTACAGAATAAAATTGAGTTAGAAAATCATATGAATCACCTTTTCACCTTCATCTCCTTCTGCAGCACGGTTCATTTCATGTGTCCTGTAGATACATGCAAAAGCTAGTGAGAAAGGCAGATGAGAAAAAATAATCAAGAGTCAATGAAACGATACAGTAGGAACTTTCAGAGGACATAGTGAGGAAAGTGAAATAGAAGTACCTTTCATCTTTGCCTGTATCATTAGAAGAATCTGAAATGGGATCTGGATCTCCATGCATTTTAGTTTCTGAAGACCCTACTTCACAATCATCCTGCACGGTAAACCATTAGGAGTGACATTTCAAGAAAATCTATGAGTAATCCATCCAAAAAAAGGGAAATAGTTACAACCTTACTATGATGTGTCCATTCGGGAACATGGTCCGACAAAAGCTTAATATACTGCTCCATAGCCACTTCCTGATTCATGCTTCCCATTTTCTGCCACGCATTCCTTGCACAATGGAATTATTGTCCTCCATCACTTACAGATAGCAGCTTTCATTCCTGTTGTATAACTAGCAATCAAACTACACCCGAAAGTAGTTTGAAGGTCTGTCCTTTACTGCTTATTGCATTTACTCTAGGTATTTTATTCTAACATTCTTATGACATAAATGTACTAAATATCATGCTTAGTTTCTTGCCTCCGTCCTCTCAATTTCACTACGAAATTCAGGCTATAGAAATCTATTCTAGTTTCTGGTCAAACTATTCTCTGGTAAAACCAGGATACGGTAGAGTTGATGAAAAAAAGTAAAGAATAAATGCTACTCCTACTATGCGAGGGGAAAGCTACTATAGGTCAGATCATCCAACATCGTCAAGGAATCCAATTGTGAATGATTAGACTCAAAGTCAATAAAACTATATGTGAGATGGTGATTGATCTCCCCATTTTCAGCAGCATTCCTTCTATTTTCTTAAGTATATAGGCATGGTATATATTGATCGTTTCCTCTCCTACAAAAGGTTCTACTAATCCAATAATCACAAATATCCAACTAACTAGATAAACGCAAGCATTCGCTACAGAATTTACTTTTTTGGTTCAAACAAATCAAAGAACATTTGAAAAAATTAATGCAATTGAAATAGAGTACAAACAATATGCTAAAGCTCATATTTTTTTGGAGTAAGAGGTTATACCATTTGGCGCGGGCGTAGACTTTCAATGCCATTGGTTGAGGTTCATGACAAGGTCCTTCCATTGCAATTTTCTGGAGTCCATACAATTGCATCATCAATTCACTCCCCAAATTCTCCATACTGCTATTCTTTCCATTTCCCCCATCCACAAAGTTTACAGCTTTTACAAATTCCTCCTCCAATTCACTCCTCTCAATTCCCTCCCAATCATCATCACTATCTTCATCCATCGCCATCTTATCCGTCTTCTCATCATCCCCTTTACTCAACCCTCCTCCTACCTCAACCACCTCATTTTCACCTACTTTGGCTTCATCAACAACCACAGCATTCGCGGTATCTTTCTCCTTCACAACAAGCAACTCATCAATCTTCTTAACCTCATCCTTTTCCTCCATCAACCCAATTTTTCCACACATATCTGCATCATCATGACCATCACTCATCTCCCTTTCACCACCACAATGCTCAGTCAAATCAAGATTTTCATAAACCTTTTCGCCCGTAAAGTCCTCACCTTTCTTTAAAACACCCTCAATTTTCTTAACTTCATCCTTTTCCTCCACCAACCCAATTTTTCCACATACATCTGCATCATCATGAACATCACTCACCTCCCTTTCACCACCACATTGCTCAATCAACTCAAGACTCTCACAAACCTTCTCTCCCTTAAAGTCATCACCTTTCTTCAAAACACCCTCAATTTCCACCTCCCTTTCACCACCACAATGCTCAACCAAATCAAGATTCCCAAAACCCTTCTCTCCCTTAAAGTCTTCACCTTTCCTCAAAACACCCTCAATTTTTTTCTCAACAAACCCTTCAATCCCATCTTTATTGGGTATTTCTCTTTCTACACGATCAACATTTCCAACAACTCCTTCTTCAACAAATTTGACTCTTTTCTTACTTTTCCTACTCCTAACAATCAACCCTTTTGAAATCTTGACTTCCTCCACAACAATTTTCTCTTTATCAACCCTTCCATCTTTTGACACTGCAGCAGAAACAAATTTAACAATTATACAAGAAAATATAAGTATTACCATAGCAGTAACAAAGAATTCTTGAAAAAGATTCATTTTTTAACTTTCCCAGATGATCTTCTTGCCTCTTGGGATACAGTTAAGATGAAGATCAAAAGATTGCTGAGATAATTATTAATATTAATAAGAAGAAGAGTTCAACTATGAAATGGATTTGAAAAGGATAAGAATGTTTGAAAACTGAAGGAAAGAATTAATGATGTGGAATTTTACTATGCTTAGAACATTTCCATGCTATAATATTGGTGGAATTCTATCAATCATAAAGGGATATTTGCAGCTTAGAGTAAAGTATATTCGGTTTTCCTCTTCCAATAATAAATATATGGGGGTTGTTTGTCTTGCGGATAAAGAAATCTCAGGATTATAATTTTGAGATTATAATCATGGGAAAAATATATCTCATATCTTTCTTCGATCTCATATTAAGTGAATTTGTGAAAAAAATGCACATTTATTAAGAAAAACATAATTTGAACTATATTTTTCATTATTGTTTTTTGTGAAATCATAAATATAACTTTGTGGATAATGTAATTTATCTCCTAAAAAATATAAAATTTCATTAAAGGAAAGGATAAATATAGAAAAATATTCAAACATTCCTCTTGAACTTTAAATAATTTTACTATTTTAAACAATAAAAAAGGCCTCAAAAATTTACTTAATATGTAATAGAAGGAGACGGAATAAAATAATATCCTTAAGGATATTCACGACTAAGGTTGAAACTAAATCAATATTATGTTTGTTTGAAGTTTTAAATTTATACATAATATGAAAATATTAAAATAAAATAAAAAAAGTTGGAAGAGAAAATTAATAAAAAAAAAATATTCATGATTTTTTAATGTTTTAATCATCTCGCATACCATATACTCGATTATAATTGTTACTATCACATAGTATGACCCTGCAGGCTGCAATTATAATTATGGGAATAATTTATCCTACGTCTTTCGATGGATAAAGTAATACCAAATTTAAAGTTAAATCTCTCTTTGAAATTAATTACGTATACTTTTAAGTAAATCATATATAAATTTAATTTTAATATAACGATATTACTTTTTTGTTTTTTTTTATTAATGGGGTCCCATTCAATTGTTTTAAGGGGGTCCCAAAAACATGAGCATCTTTATTTGGTGTTTGATTTAATGTCAAAACGTAAAAAGTGTATATATGGGCCATCTTAACACGTTTCTTCATGTGTTTTCGTCTACCTATCTTATCCTCTTCTCCCATTTTCTGATGTGTCAATCTTCAAATCGATTTTTTTAGATTTATTTGTATGTTTTTTATAAGTAAGAAAATATTTTTCTTGTTTTATTGGTGAATGAAAAACAATATTTATTAAGAATTGACATAAATTTACATATGCTATTATCTTGAAACGTTAATTAAATCTAAAAATATCTGAATATTGTAATTCAACTATGAAAGATTGTCAAGTAAACTGACCTTCAAATCTAATTACAATTAGATAATATATTTTGCATAGAGATTATATAATAATAAAAATATTTGATCTTAAAAAGGCTTGAATGCTTCAATTCAACTATGAAAGATCACCAAGTGAACCGGCATTCAAATCTAATTACAAGATAGGATATTTTGTATACAGATTAAAGTCATTTGCTAAGAAAAATCTTATTGTCTATAAATAATTGAAGTCATTTTCTTCGTATGATGAAACTTCTCTTTTTGGAAAATCTTTTCTAGTAGTCAAACATAAGATGTGAATTTTTTCCCAATATATCAAATTAGCTTGTTTCTTTTTATTTATTTTTTAAAAAAATTGTTGCTAAATAATTATATTTTTGTCTAGTTCAAATTTTAGAGTAGATATAGACAAAATACTAGGTGTTTTTTTTTTTCTGTTTAGATTTTAGTGGATAGAAATATCAGATATCTATATTTTTGGAAAATAGCAAATACTACATGAAATTAATTGAAGTTCGCATGAATTGTCCCGAATACCATGACTATAAAAAGTAGTATATAATAAGTCTAGTATTTGTTAATTTGTACCTTTGTAAGTTAAACAATGTTTTCTTTGGGATGGAGTAATACTTTACCAAAATTAAGATTTTCTCTTTCGTGTCAGTTCTACTTATTATTGCCAAGTTACCTTTTTAAAAAAAAAATAATAATAAAAACTTAAGCTGTTCTTTGCGTATAAAATGCTGTTCGTGAGAATTTTTTTTCAATTTTCTTAATTATTATTATTTTAATATTATTATACATTCTTGCTGCCAAATGGTTGGATTATTACAAGTAGTTGATTGAGGAGGATAAAATAGGCTCTAGAGCAAGTTATTCCATCATATAATTAATTATAAATAATGGTTAATAAAAGTTAAATACTACTCCTATTTTAAGTTTTAACCAATGGAATTAAATATTGATTAAATTGGTAATTTTATAAGGCTAAAACTTGAACAACTTTAACAAGAAAAGCAAAGGACAACATTCCTACCAAACAATTGTTTCGTACAAAATTATAATATACCAGAAAGAGATGTGGTGCAGAGAATGTGACTGTTTTTCTTAATTAGAGATTTCGAATTTGAGCTCTGAATATAAAAAAAAATTCATGATATGGAGCGTTTTCCTCCGAATAAAGCCCTATATAATGTAAATTCGAAATAGTTCCAAGTATCAAATATCGAATTGGAAATCAAAAAACAAAATTATATTACTTCATTGTCTTTTATTATGTCATGATTTTTATTCGTTTCTTGGTTTTTGTTTCCTTGTAGATTTGGACAATTATAAGAAGAGTAACTAAAATATACATTGTATATTTACTTTTAAATATCTCAAGTTATGAATCATGATTAAATAATATGTTATATTAGGAAAAGGTTTAAAAAGGAATCATGATTTGGTATCTTTATATATCAAAAATGAGTAGAACGGTATTTTTTGACGCAAAGATGAATGAAGGGTATTTTGAAACTTTTCCTATAGTTTAAAGGTTGTATTTTTTACCCTTTTTCGTTATATAATTAAGGAAGAATAAACTCTGAAGTACTATATCACAAGTTCAATCACTACTAGAAATGGGTTAATAGTTTTTGTGGTTCATTAACTATTAATAAATTCTTATTTTAAATTTTGTGATTTCTAATTAAGCATATTCAATTTTTAATTATTTGAAATGTGCTTCTTTTTTTTATCCACTTGCTTATAAATAATTGTAGACTTCCTGAACTATTATTCGTTTCACCATTTAATTACATATGTATTATATTAAGCTTGTATTAATTATTACTTCATAGTTGTAGGCACTATGGTACTAAAAGCAATCAAAGATAACATATTTTCTCAATTAAGTGACCATTTAGTTAATTACGTATTAAATATGCTGAATCATATATCATAAAAGTTCAAATCAAAATCTTCTCATAACAGAGGGTTCGAAAATACAAGTATCCGATTAGAAATTTGACGAAATATTTCTGCGTTAGTTTGAAAACAAAAAATATTTGATAAGTGTTTATCTAATGTGATATATATCTCTGGTGGGATTTGCAAGCTTTTTTTGCTGGAGTAATTGATTTCTTAAATAATATAATAAATTAGTATTGAGAAAAATATATATAATAAATTATCCCAAAAGTTCAAGTTGATCGTGATACGTAACTGAGTTTATTCAACTGGCCACTCACTATTATGTTCATTATTCATTTATACTTTATTTTTCTAGTTTTCACCTAATTTAATTAATTAGAGATTCTTTAAGTTCATAGCTTAATATTAAAGTAGCAGTTTAGAATATCTTAATTTTATTAATAGTCCTCCACCCTCAACAAATAGCACAATTCTTTATGCTAATGACAATTAAATTTTATTTAGCTTCCTTAATTAGTACTTTGCTTTGGCATATAATTGACTTTTACAAACAATACCGATATTATACAACAAGCAACATAAGTAAAACAAGCTAGAATATTTTACTTGGTCATTTCCAAGAGCACCTATAAAACAACTATTTCAAAATTTATTCCTAACTAAAATCAAGTTAAAACAATATTTGATTTTAACTATATGATGTTTATGTATATGTTTTCAAAGCATAAGTTAGATGTATGTGTGTTTCCGTGTACATGTAAGGACATCAACTGTTTGTGTGGCCAACTGGATCTGATGTATGTGTTTACAAACTATATGTGCAGATCAGTTGTATGTGTGGCCAACTGGATCCGATGTATGTGTTTTCAAACTATATGTACAGATCAACTGTATGAAAAAGATATGTGAAATGTATCTTATATGTAAATAATGTAATGGAAGAACAAACACCTAAAAATATATATTGTATGCATGTCATATGTGTGTGTCAAATATTAATATCGTTTTTATTTAAAGAATGCTCATTTCTAGAATTTTTAAATACATAGATACGATATGTTGCATCAGATAATTAAGTTTCTCATGAATTAAAGCATCCAACAACATATGATCTACTCACGTAAGAGCAGATTCTAGTGTCGATATACTGATGATTAATTTAAGTTTAATCTGTCTTTTTTCTTCTTTTTTTTAAAATGGCAATTTAGCTTTGTAATTAGTGCTTAATTCCAATCGTGTCATTTGGACTTTCTTTATTTGGCTTATAACCCAAAATTAGCAAAGTGGTCTTCAAAAGCAACTACATAAACCTTTTAGATTAGGGACAGGACCTAATTATTTTTTCTTTTACTTTTCCTTTCTTCTTTTTATAGTAATTATCAAATCAAAAAAGCAATTAAACGCTATGATGTTCCCTTTAATTTAAAATAATAGCAAAAACAATTATTTGTCTAACTAATTACAACTTCTCACTCCAAACATTTGACATTTTATTAATTTTTAAATGACAATGACTTTCTTGCAATGTATTCACCATGTCATTATATATATATATATATATATATATGTGTATGTGTGTGTAAATTATAATTATCTAGACGGCGACTTATATAATTATTAGCTAGCGAGTTAATATCTAAGAGGAAAAAATGTAAATTATGATATCGACTATGCCTAAGCGTCGATACTTAGGCTATTGAAAATATAATTAAGAAAATAGAAATGTGCACGAAGATCGA